GCAACGTGAGAATGAAAATCCCTCCGATTGCTGCAATCTTAGACTCAGAAAAATGTCTCCATAAACTGAAGATTACTTCTCTGTAGTGGCCACTATCGTAACACGAAGCATGGAAAGCATTTTCTGTGTGCTGGGCATTGATCTTGTTTGTGCTTTCCTGTTTAATACAGAATAGGTCTCAAAGGGGAAAGCCAGCCGCAGTCCCCCGGCGGGCAGGGGAGAGAAAGCTTTGGACTGGAATCTGAAGGTCTGGGGTGGGGAAGGCCTCTGTCGTTAACTGCGAGTAATATGTGAGAAGGACAACAGGGCTTTCCATTCTGTTAGGAATGGGGTCAACACCGAGGGGACCAAGGATACTGCATAGGTGAATTAAAGACCATGGCTTTGTCACCATCTTGTCATCCCTGAGTTTGTTCCCTAGCAGAATCTCAGCCTGTCTAGCTATGCCTCTGTCAACCAGTTTAATTTGCTTATTCATTTCTACATTCATTCATCCCCTCCACAGTTTCTGTCAAGCACAACTATATATGTTAGGAAAGAGAAAATCAACCTTGGTTTCATGGAACTTACATTGTGTTGGGGTCCTACAGCCCCAAAACATAAGTAATTTATCGGGTGTTCATAACTGTGTGATTAACATTAAACCGGGATAGTGAAATAGAGAGAGGGGATGATATCTAGAAGGAGTGGCCAGGGAGGTTCCTTCTAAGAGTGTGACATTTGAGCAAAAGCCTAGAGGAGATGCCTGTCTGGGAGAAAAGTGTCCCAGACAGAGTTAAGGCCAGTGTAAAAACTGGGGAGTGGAACTCAGTGGAGTGTGTATGAAAAGAATGTGGAGGGCTATGTGACTGTCACAGGATGATGGAGGGAGAGCCAGGAGTTGTGATGAGAGTGGTGATGAGGGGCGGGTCCCCTAGGGCCTCTGGCCATAGAGGTGACTTTGACTTGAGCCACAGGAGCATTCTTACCAGAGAAGCCCCCAGGGTTCTTTCAGAGGCCCAGATCACACAGTGATTGTTGAGGAGCTCTAGATTCATCCCGGGAAAACCACAGACCCTCTGCAGTTGAACATGCCTTTCCTGGAATCCCTGGTATCCTGGAATCAAGGGGAATCCCTTCTACTGCTCCCAGTGGACATCCATGTTGATTGATGATACCCTCAGGACAGAGGAAGGACCCTCACGGTATGAGGGAGGTCACAGTCAGTCTCATAAAGGCTAAGAGGGAGGATGTATCAGGCACAGAGATGGCAGGGAGAAAGACAAAGATAGAACATTGGACAGGGACAGAGAGACTATCTCTGGCAGCAAAGGATCCCCAATTAGCACCCACCTACGGGCCTCCAGCCCTGCTACTGGATGAGGTACCTATCTCTACAGGAGAGAAGAAGCTGCTCCCCCTCCCCGCCCCACCCCGCCCCCCACCAGGGACTGTCTCTAGGAAATGACTCAGTAGCCCATCGCCTGGGTCTGAATCATGCTCCCTTAGCACACATCAGGGTCCACTGCCCTGATCCAGACATGGAGATGATCCAGTCATGGGGAGGCTCATGCTGTACACAGGGTCCCTCACAAGCTGTCCAGCGCTGACTGCCCTCCTGCTGACCTCAGTGCCAATGAATGCTTTAGTGGGAGAAAGAGAGGCAGAGATCACTACATTTGTGGTGGAGCCTCATGCAAATTGGTGAATGTGAGTTTTCTCCCCACCTGCTTGGAGGCTCACCTATGTATTTTCCACCACCACTTCCCCAGGGAATGTGCAGATTACATTCGATACATCAGGTGAGCAGCTGGGTGTATGATGGGGAGACACAGAGCCGTATCCTGACAGTGAGACAGTCATAGGGTCCTTGTAGCCCTGTGCCAATGCCCCCCTCCCCCACTACATGGCCGGGGTTCTGCTGAGTCTTCCCTGCCTCCTCCAAGGAGCCCAAGCCTGCATCCCGTTCCTCCTGTCCTCATGAGCTGAGACCTTCCATCTGCACTGGGCCTTGGACTCCCATCTGCAAATGGTGGCCTCTTTGTGATGGGTTGAGCAGATTGTCTGAGTGAGTGTGTGTACACAGTTTTTTCACAAGGCCCCTATCAAGGGTGGTAGCCTTGTCAGGAAGTATTGTTCTTCTCGGTTTTGTTACCGTGAGCTCCTGTGTACTGCACATGGCTTGCCCTCCCTGAGGATGGGGCCACAAATTTTATCTCTGTATGGAAGCATGGTAGAAATCATTGCAAATGTGTTATCACAGGTCTACTTCTGCGATCCATGAGATTGGGGTCCATCAAGCCTTCCTGTTAAGACTACTCTCTTATGCAGATACATGAACAGCTCAGACACCCAACCCTCTCGACAAAACCCTCCCCAATAGTTCAGAGACTTCATGCCTGGGACAGAGATCCACGAACAGTTCAGAGAGCACTCATCCTGGACAGCAACCCACGACAGCTCAAATATGTCACACCTGAGGACAGAGACCCTACACATCTTAGACAATTCCAACTCTGAGTTCAGTTCAGTCATTCAGTCATGTCTGACTCTCTGAGAGCCCGTGGACTGCAGCATTCCAGGCCTCCCTGTCCATCGCCAACTCCCAGAGTTTACTCAAACTCATGTTCATTGAGTCGGTGATGCCATCCAACCATCTCATCCTCTGTTGTCCCCTTCTCCTCCTGCCTTCAGTCTTTCCCAGCATCAGGGTCTTTTCAAATGAGTCAATTCTTCGCATCAGGTGGCCAAAATATTGGAGTTTCAGTTTCAGCGTCAGTCCTTCCAATGAATATTCAGGACTGATTTCCTTTAGGATAAACTGGTTGAATCTCCTTGCAGTCCAAGGGACTCTCAAGAGTTTTCTCCAACACCACAGTTTGAAAGCATCAATTCTTCGGCACTCACCTTTCTTTATAGTCCAGCTCTTACATCCATACATGACTACTGGGAAAACCATTGCCTTGACTAGATGGACCTTTGTTGGCAAAGTAATGTCTCTGCTTTTTAATATGCTGTCTAGGTTGGTCCTAACTTTTCTTCCAAGGAGCAAGCGTCTTTTAATTTGATGGCTACAGTCACCATGTGCATTGATTTTGGAGCCCCCAAAGTAAAGTCTGCCATTGTTTCCCCATCTATTTGCCATGAAGTGATGGGACCAGATACCATGATCTTAGTTTTCTAAGTTTGTACGAGTTATACGCTTTTGTTTTTCTTTCATCTATATACCAGGTGTTGAATAGTTGGGCTGTTTCTAGGTTTGGCTATGAGGAGTACATGAGTAGAATATTTGAGTAAAGGTCCTTGTGTGAGCATGTTTCCCTTTCTCTTGGGTAAAATTAAAACTCCTAGTAAGTATGAAAATTCCCACTCTAATAGAATAAGAAGAATGTGCTACTGGAGAAGAGTGAAGAAATAGCTACAGAAGGAATGAAAAGGCGAAGCCAAAGTGGAAACAACACCCAGTTGTGGATGTGTCTGGTGGTGAAAGTAAAGCCTGATGCTAAAAGAACAATATTGTATAGGAACCACAGGTATATTCAGAGCAATCAGTTACCAGTTCAGAGATTTAAATATGCAGTGCTCCAAGCAAAAAGTGGAAACAGAGGTATGGATTTATGTATTTATTCCATGGAAATGAGTAAAGCCATTGCAAGCATGATGGAAAACCCAGAAGCAGACAAAGAAATGGTTCATCAAACATGTATAAAAATAAGTATTAAAAACCTTAATGTCTATTTCTGTCACGAGTGTCTTCCCGAACCACATTCTCCACTAAGGTAACCTGGGACTACCTATCACCACAGTTTGTGGATGCATAATATAGACTGCCCTGGAAGGAAAACAATATAGTCTTCAAGCCCTTTTCTCATCCTCCAGAGATCCTGCGGTTCCAGGACTCTACCTGAGTGGCGGGAAAACCTCAACCTGCACTGCACACGCCCAACTCAGGGAGCATGTGCAGTGTGTGCGCACGCACCTCTTGCTGCACATGCGCCTTGGTGCGCATACGGCTTCCTGAGCGCCTTCTGTGAGAACCGTTGGGCCCGAGACCGGTGTGTTTATTCAGTTCCGGTTCTTTCTCACTACTTGAGACTCACCAGGTAGGTTCACAGGTTCACAGATCTGTCCTGTCTGGAGGTTAAGTGTGCGTGTGTGTGAGGGGGAGCCAGCGAGTTTCGGGCGGGTCGGGCAGTGCCAACTGGGGCCTTTGAGGAGGAAGGCCCTCGAGGTCATCATCTTTCTCCTCACAGGTGTCGAGACGCCCTAGTTCTTGTCCTCGTGGCGGGACAGGAAGGGCCGTGGGGAGAGGAGGGCAGGGGGTCAGATGACAGTGGGGGGAGACTTGGGGGTGCTGTTTGAGATATCTGGTTCATTGGGGCCCTAGAACTGATGACAGCACAGAATCTGGGGCCGGCAGTGGGACCTGGGCAGTGGGCGGGGTGGGCGATTAAGGAGAGACCTAGAAACAGGACCGCGGTGGGTTTGTGACCCTATCGCGATTTTTGTGATAAGGTGCCAAGAGAGAAGTGGACCGGTATGCTGTGTATGCAGACTCACCTCAGTCACAGACGCTGAGAAAATCGCCATAGTCAGCCTGTAAAGACTAACCGTATCTTCCTGTTCCCACTGAATTCCAAGGGAGTTGGGGAAAATAGGTCTGGTGAATAGGAGTGTGACAAGAGCAATAGTCCTGAATTTTTAAATTCCTAGCAGTATTTCACTAAATATCTTCATGATGGAGAATTCTTTTCTGAAATCAAACTTCCTCACAACAATTCTCTGTCTTCTTGTGTACCTTAAGGTGATTTCTCTGCCAGCTTAGCGAGGATACAAATGGCTTTGCAAGCAACTGTATTTGGTGTAATTGGAATGCATGTACACTCATACTTAACCAGAGTTTTCTTTTGAAAGTATTTTCACAGTTTTAAAACATAGTAAATCAACATATGGTCATAAAAGTGATCAAATATAGCTGTACTCTTAAATACATTTTCTAAATCACAATATTCTACTTTAAGGGAGAAATATGAGTGGACAAGTGGCATCAACATTGGGACCTACAGGTCAAGCTTCTTCCCAGCTGGATAAACCTGTGGTTGTGAGTACCTTACCATTTGATATTTTCTATTAGCACAAATTTACTTTTGAGAAAATGATGTTAAGTAATGCAGATGCAGTGATAAAGGTCTTCCGTGCTGATAAAGGGTGACAGTTTGTCTTAGGAAGGAACACTGATCCAGATATATTACAGTCTGGCGTTACCTGGTTGAGTATACTGTGAAATTCCCTGGAAATGTGCCCAGTGACTCCCTCCTCCTGCTTATTAATAACAGATTGCACACTTCCATCTCAGCATAGATTTAAATAGCTTCCAAAGTCTTTCTGGGTAACTCTTATCGGAGCTAACTCTTCTCTGTGGGAAGAGTAACTTTATTAAAAGTAAGTACATAGAATTGTGTTGGGAAAATGTTGTTAGGTTTACTTATGATTAGATATATCTGTGTATTATGTATATTTATGCTGTTAGATGTGTTAACAACAAAAAGATTTATTTGCATGCACACTCTCCTAGGACCAGCAGCCCAGTGTTGAGCAACCTCAACAAGAGGAACCACCAGCTGAGATTCAGGATATCACACCTGGAAAGGAGGAAGTCGATGGAGAGGATCCAGTGAATCCTGATGAAGAGAGGGAGAAGGATGCCCCTGGAGGTAAAGTGTATGTGTGCATCATGTCTTAAGACATAACCAGTAAGAGGAGGAAAGGAAACATTAGAAAAGGACTTCAGACAGTTCCTAAAAAACTGAGGAGAGTAAAGTTTGCAGGTTAGTGTGGTCGCTCAGATGTTCCCTTGTTTTCAAGACAAAGAGGAGGGGGCAACTGAGTTGTCTGAGGACAGCCCTGGGAAAGAAAGATGGTCATAACATCTGGAAAATTCTGCTTTCCTTTTTCTCCAGCAAAACATTCCTGGAATAATGCTCCTGAGGTTCTTATTCATCACATTTTTACCAAACTAGCCTAAGGCTTTTAATTCATAACACAGAGGGGATCAATATTATCATTCCCTTGTTTATAGTATATGGTTTACAGCTGAATTGATACTTTTTTTTTTAAAGATTCTGACCTGGAAACTGATCTCCAGAAATTGGCTGTGGCAACGACTGGGGGTCAAGGTGGAGATGGTCCCGATGTCAAGGAGGAGATTGCATCAAATACAGAGCCTGTTGAAATGCCAGAAGCAGGTATGTCATCCATTCAGAAAGTAATTTATGTGATTTCTGTTTTTCAGAATATTGTATCTTTAATAATATAGAGGGGTCATTACTATTATTTTAATAACAGAGCTCACATATTCTTTGAAAGATAGTTCAGACCCCAGATGTCTGAGTGGCTGACTTACAGACTTGCAAATAATGAAACAGACAGGATCAAAGCCATATCGAATTGAAAATAGGAAACCGTTTCCTTCTCTTGAGTATAAGTACTTTAAGCAACATCTAATAATTTTCAGGTTCTTTTATAATTTCTGCTTATAACAAATATGAAATGCATTTGTCATAAATAGCAGTTTATATGAAATATGCTCAGGTATTCAAGTAGGTTCTAGTACCAGCTTTAACATAATGTGTGTGATTCTGTGAAATCCCTTAACTTCTAAACTCAACTTTACTCATATAAATTGTGATTTCAGAACAGATACACTAAAATGCTCATTTTTCAATGCTAATTTGTGCATTCTCTGGTTCTCTTTAATGGAATGCATACAAGAATACTCCTTTTTCCATGATTTATTTATCATAAAATAGTATCTTGAGTCAACTTATAACAGGGGAATTGAGATTTCATTTTCTGATGGGGAACACATGTACACCTGTGGCTGATTCATGTTGATGTATGGCAAAAACCATGACAATATTGTAAAGTCGTTAGCCTCCAATTAAAATAAATGAATAAGCTTTTTTTAAAAAAGAAAATGAGCCAACATTCTGCCTGATGTTTGTTAAATTCTCTCAAGTTCTGAATTCTCTAGCTCTTAAAAAGTAGTTGCATTTTAAATCCTTTCCCCAATGAAGCATGAAATGACTGAACAATGAAATAGCAAAAGATATTCTAGTTTCCTGTGTCTGTGGCTGATCAAGTTGAGAGAGTGCATTTCACTGAGAGAGTCAGTGCTATTCAAGGCAGATGTGAGTAAGATACACATGCTAAGCACACTACCTGCCCCCACGTTTGGTCTGTTTTTTTTTTTTGAGGGGGTTGCTTATTTTGGAGAAGGAAATGGCAACCCACTCCAGTATTCTTGCCTGGAGAATCCCATGGAAGGAGGAGCCTGGCAGGCTACAATCCATGGGGTCGCAAAGAGTCGGACACAACTGAGCGACTTCACTTCACTTTGCTTATTTTAATTGGAGGATAATTACTTTGCAATATTATGATGGTTTTTGATGATGGTTTTTGCCATACATCCCACTGTCACTCATAATGTACTAATAAAAATCGGAGCCTCATGATATAATTGTCTCTAACGATATCAAATATGTTACTTTTCCTCTTTGATGCATCAGTTTAAAAAGTTTTGAAGGTCAAAGTCTGTAAGTCTAGTCTCTTCCCACGTAATCAACTTAGTATCTTTCACATACGTGTTTTCCAAATTGCTGATAATTAATTGCATGGTTCCGATTTTGAAGTAAGAACTTCATGGTTAGGGGAGAATTTACTGTGTATTAGCCTTCTAAATATTTTCACTTTACATTTTTGTTCCATTCCATTAGAACATTTAGATGAAAATAGCACTTACAGACTACCTCCAAGTAACTACAGAACATGATTAAAATGTTCTCATAGAAAAATCTTCGCCCTAAATATGTGTGGTACTCGAAAAGAGCAATATATAAATTACAAAGTACATAAATATAAAATCCTACATCCAATATAAAAGGTAAGAAAAAGAGCAACAGAATAAACCGAAGGGAAAAAGAAAAAGATCCTTAATAAAAGACAGGTATGAATTGTTAGGAAGAGAAAAATAAATTCAACTAATAAATAAAGACAATGTGCTAGTTTACATAATTTTTAACACATATATATCCATTTTTTAAAATATTCTTTTCCGTTGTGATTTATCACAGGAGATTGGACATAGTTCCCTGTGCGGTATAGTAAGACCTTGTTGTTTATCCATTCAGAGTGTAATAGTTTGTATCTGCCAACCGCAAATTCCCAGTCCATTCCTCTCAGTTTACATAACTGTGAAGAAAATGGACAAAGCCCAAGTACACATAATAAGAAATATGAACAAGACACTTAAGAGTTAGTATATTACAGAATTAAAACAGTGTAATCTGGAATTCAGATATTTTCAGAATATTGATGACATGGCTAATAGGATAGAAAAACAAATATTTAACATACCCCACAGTAACTAAATAACTAAACATCACAGATACCTTGGAAGAAGTTTTGAAATTGGTCAGAGTTGTCTCTCACAAACCATTATGCTTTAGAAACAAGGAAAAATATCTGGTTTTCCAGACTTTCTTTCTGTCTTCCTACTTGCTTTTCTGTCTCACTCATACTCCCTCTTGCTCTCCCTTTTCTTCTCTTCTCGCCTTTTTTCTTTCTTTTTTGGTGTGGCTGTGAGAAACAGTCCTATTTCTGCTTCACATTTTGATGTCACCATGTCGTCAGTGATAGTAATGACTTAAAATTCGTGTCACCATATAATCTATCATACCAACTGGAATGCTTTCCAGGGTGAAAAGAAACATTTAGAATTATATGAGGGCCACAAGGAAAGAGGGGGACAAATGTTGAACCAACTTAAAACAAACATCAGGGATAAACTAAAACAAAAGAAAATTTCTATACTTTTCCACAGTAGAGAAGAAACAAATGTAATACTGGCCTTTTTATTTACTTCACTTAAGCAGTAACAGAAATAACAACTATTTAGCTATCCTATATTCAGAATATTATTTCAAATTCATACATGTAAATGATACTTTTGGGGGACGTTTTTGTTTCATTTTTTGTGTATTTTGTTTTCCTTAGAATGTTGTTTGTTGTTAGCTATTTTACTGAATGTGTACACAGTTTTGCCTTCTACTGAAAACTACCTTCTGATAGGTTCCATTGATTTCATTTGTTCTGAACTCAGTGTCCTTGTTTTCTTGTATAACTAGGAAGAGTAGTGTGTTTTTAAAAATACTCATAATGTGCTTGAAAATTCTATAAAATCTCTAGAGAGGATGAACTGAAGGTAAGCCAAAGGGTCGCCCTTAGTGTTCTTGTTTTAGTCCATTTTATAGAACTACAACTACAGTGAACTTTGTATACCTCTCCTATCATCAAAATAAAGTTCTGCTAAGTAACTTTAATGTTTATATTATAGGTGAAGGGGAACCTTTGCTTGAAAGAAGATAAACTGAAACCATCTATGCTGTTCTTATGCTGTTTATTTGACTGTTAAAGTTCTGTTAATAAAATTTCATTTTCTACTTCCACATTTTTGGTTAACTTTTCCCTGGATATTTAATGTTATTGAAACTTCATGGTTTGCGATTTTTATTGTCTAGTTGAGGATATATGTAGAGATAGAATGTTTGTATATAGAGTTTCTGTCCACCAATTCCTCTAACTATGCATATTAATTCCACAAATTTAGATCTAGATTGTTTTCGCTTTTCAAAATATACTATTATATTTGATATCAACAGTTTCTACTGGCTTAAACCTTAAACCTTTCCTCATTTTGCAGCATTGAACAAACCTAGCCAGAATAGTCTTGACTAAAACAGGTGATAATCGGTATTTTTCCTGATAGGAAATGAAAAATCTTCTCCATTTCAACCTGTGGAAGTTGCTCTTTTGTAGATATACTTTATCAGAGTAAGTTCCATTCTATTCCTAGTTTGCTGTCTTAAATATAGATTAATTTTCATCAAACACTTATAATGCATCAATTGTGATGATCATAGAATTGTTTTCCTTCCATTTTTCTATTACTGTGGTGAATTGCATTGGTAACCTTATACATGTAAACCACCCTTACACTTCTAGGGTTAAAAAAATTTGGTCATAACATATTCTTTAGGTGTAATCTACATGTTAATACATATACATACATATATATATATATATACCACACATAAAAAATTCATGAAAGCCTTGGGTCTTCTCTTGAATGTATGGGTTTACAAAATGTGCCACCCAGATCTCATATGGTCCCTGATGAAATCATTGCCAGAGAAACATTTTTTAATACTTAATATACTTGTATTGTCCTATAGAGAAATGAAATGCCAAAGCCATTGTTAAAGGTTCTAGGGAGACAGAGAAAAAAACTGCTTGTCAAATTCCATGGCAAATGCCACAGCGTATCTTTCACACTCTTCTGACTTGCCTTCCAAGTTTTTTTGGGTACAGGGAGAGAGCAGCCACAGTCTTTTCTTCTCCATGACATCCTCCATTGGCTTGATAGTCACCAGTTCTCAGAAGCCCTCCAGCTGTGCTGTGTGTGTGTGTGTGTGTGTGTGTGTGTGTTAGTCACACAGTTGTGTCTGACTCTTTGCGACCCCACAAACTGTAGCCTGCCAGGCTTCTCTGTCCATGGAATTCTCCAGGCAAGAATACTGGAGTGGATTGCCATTCCCTTCTCTAGAGGATCTTCCCAACCCAGGGATCCAAGCCTGCTCTCCTGCATCGCAGGCAGATTCTTTACTGTTTGAGCTACACGGAAGTCTTCCAGCTGTCTGATTTCTCCCTTATATACTGATTATTACATAATAGCAAAATGCTTACATCTCTGAGCCCGCATCTGTATCCTCATGCACCAAAAAATATATTTATGCAACAAACGACCTATTCAGAATGCACTCTGCTTAGGGAATGAGAGGGGATTATAAACAGCAGCTGTTTTGCCTTTACAGAGGTATGAAAATCCAGGCCCAAAAGGACTGAAAATGGGAGGTAAAGATGGTAAAGAATCCACCTGCAGGGCTGGAGACCTGGGTTCAACCCCTGGGTCGGGAAGATCCCCTGGAGGAGGGCATAGCAACCCACTCCAGTATTCTTGCCTGAAGAATCCTCATGGATAGAGGTGCCTGACGGGCTACAGTCCATGGGTCGTAAAGAGTCGGACACGACTGAGCGACTAAGCACAGCACGTGACATAACTAAGAGCATGGATACTGGCTGTGAGAAATAGGGTGTGAAGGTGAGAAAGGTATTTACATCCTTTGGATTGGTTTCCCCATTTCTAAAATGGAAATTAGAAGTTTACACTAAATATTTGTTATGAAGAATAAACAAGATAACATGTGAAATACGCATTCCATTGCAAATGGATTTGGCTTATTCTACTCCAATTTTCATTTAAACTTTGAAAATTTTTAATTTTGAGGAACCCGGAGAACCTGGATAGCTGACTCTTCTTCTGTGGGTTACAGTTCCCAAAGGCAAAAAATGAGGGCAGAAATACCACCTGCTTCTTGGGTGGTGTCCAGCATCAATGAGCCAGCAGGATCTTAGCTTCGTACTTGTCCCTGTCATGTTATTATTGTAGGTGGCTCTGATAGTAAGGAGTCAGCCTGCAATGCAGGACACCCAGGTTCAATCCCTGGGTTCGGAAGATCCGCTGGAGAAGGCAATGGCAACCCACTCCAATATTCTTGAATGGAGAATCCCATGGGCAGAGGAGCCTGGCAGCCTACACAGTCTAGTTCAGCTCAGCTGTTCAGTCGTTTCTGACTCTTTGCAACCCCACGAACCACAGCATGCCAGGTCTCCCTGTCCATCACCAACTCCCAGAGACCACCAAAACCCATGTCCATCGAGTCGGTGATGCCATCCAACCATCTTATCCTCTGTTGTCCCCTTCTTCTCCTGCCCTCAATCTTTCCCAGCATCAGGGCCTTTTCCAGTGAGCCAGCTCTTCGCATCAGGTGGCCAAAATATTGGAGTTTCAGCTTCAACATCAGTCCTTCCAATGAACACCCAGGACTGACCCCTTTAGGATGGACTGGTTGGATCTCCTTGCAGTCCAAGGGACTCTCAAGAGTCTTCTCCAACACCACAGTTCAAAAGCATCAATTCTTCGGCACTCAGCTTTCTTTACACTCAAACTCTCACATCCATACATGACCACTGGAAAAACCATAGCCTTGACTAGATGGACCTTTGTTGACAATGTAATATCCCTGCTTTTTAACATGCAGTCTAGGTTGGTCATAACTCTCCTTCCAAGGAGTAAGTGTCTTTTAATTGCATGGCTGCAATCACCAACGGCAGTCATTTTGGAGCCCCAGAAAATAGATTCAGCCATGATTTCCTCTGTTTCCCCATCTATTTCCCATGAAGTGATGGGCCCACATGCTATGATCTTAGTTTTCTGAAGGTTGAGCTTTAAGCCAAGTTTTTCACTCTCCTCTTTCACTTTCATCAAGAGGCTCTTTAGTTCTTCTTCACTTTCTGCCATAAGAGTGGTGTCATCTGCATATCTGAGATTATTGATATTTCTCTCAGCAATCTTGATTCCAGCTTGTGCTTCATCCAGCCCAGCGTTTCTCATGATGTACTCTGCCTATAAGTTAAATAAGCAGGGTGAAAATATACAGCCTTGACGTACTCCTTTTCCTATTTGGAACCAGTCTGTTGTTCCATGTCCAGTTCTAACTGTTGCTTCCTGACCTGCATACAGGTTTCTCAAGAGGCAGGTCAAGTGGCCTGGTATTCCCATCTCTTTCAGAATTTTCCACAGTTTATTGTGATCCACACAGTCAAAGGCTTTGGTATAGTCAATAAAGCAGAAATAGATTTTTTTGGGAACACTCTTGCTTTTTCGAATATCCAGCGGATGTTGGCAATTTGATCTCTGGTTCCTCTGCCTTTTCTAAAACCAGCTTGAACATCTGGAAGTTCACGGTTCACGTACTGCTGAAGACTGGCTTGGAGAATTTTAAGCATCACTTTACTAGCGTGTGAGATAGTGCAATTGTGCGGTAGTTTGTGCATTCTTTGGCCTTGCCTTTCTTTGGGATTGGAATGAAGACTGACCTTTTCCAGCTCTGTGGCCACTGGTGAGTTTTCCATGTTTGCTGGCATTTTGAGTGCAGCACTTTCACAGAATCGTCTTTCAGGGATTGAAATAGCTCAACTGGCATTCCATCACCTCCACTAGCTTTGTTCATAGTGATGCTTCCTAAGGCCCACTTGACTTCACATTCCAGGATGTCTGGCTCTAGGTGAGTGATCACACCATCGTGATTATCTAGGTCGAGAAGAGCTTTTTTGCACAGTTCTTCTGTGTACTCTTGCCACCTCTTAACATCCTCTGCTTCTGTTAGGTCCCTACAATTTCTGCCCTTCATTGAGTCCATCTTTGCATGAAATGTTCCCTTGGTATCGCTAATTTTCTTGAAGAGAGCTCTACTCTTTCCCCTTCTATTGTCCAAGGGGTCCTAAAGAATCTGACAGGACTGAGCACCTTTCATTTCCACGTCACTTAAACATTTTCAAGTCTAAACTGTCCGTCATAATAAAGTTCTATTTAAATACTACATTTCCTCTAGGATCAGAAGACGGACAAGGGAGCTCACTCTCTCCACCATTATTCAATATATCAGCTTATATTATTTTATTGTAATTTTCAGTGTCAATGGCTTTGTTCAAAGTTTTCACAAAGGGCTCTCTGAAGGGCTCAGATGCAGTTTGAACCAGGCAACCTGCTCAAGCTGAGAAAACTATGTGCTGCTTCTTAAGGGAAAAGGTTTCCTGGCCTTTTTTTCAACCGCCAAGGGCGGGGGAGAAACGGGATGGTGTCACTTGGAGCAACACTGCCACCTGCCGACCACAGAAACCAAAACGCCGCAAGCCCGGAAGAAAAGCCAACGTTTTCCTTGGGTTTTCGCGGAGAGGACTGGACATCGTGGATGCGGAAGTGAAGAAGGATTCCCATCAGGACCAGAGAAAGGAAGGCGACCTCTCGAAGGGGCCCAGCCAAACTACCCGTGGACCGCAGACTCCAGCGGCTTGCGGAACCAAGGAAACACTGGCAGGAAATCAGGGAGTCTCAAAAATCCGGAGCTTGGTGGGCGGTTCTGCGCCCCCATTGGCTGGTTCTGGGCCTGCGCGGAACAACCCAGTGAGGCCCGTGCCAGTCTCCTGGCCGGGGTTGGTTGGAAGTTTTATCATGCACCCTGTTTCAAAGTCTTCACTGAAGAACCTGACCGTGTATGTCCTGGTCCTGTCGCCCACTGCCGAAGCCCCGCAAGTGCGGAACCCGTAAAAGTCCCCTGAATTTCTCCTTCCGCCCACCCCATCCCTGTGAACGCGTTCCTCCCGTGGTATACTCACTGTTCTCTCAGCCCTCACTTTTCTTTTCTTTTCCATTTATTTTTATTAGTTGGAGGCTAATTACTTTACAGTATTGTAGTGGTTTTGGTCATACATTGACATGAATCAGCCATGGATTTACATGTATTCCCCATCCAGATCCCCCCTCCCACCTCCCTCTCCACCGGATCCCTCTGGGTCTTCCCAGTGCACCAGGTCCGAGCAATTGTCTCATGCATCCAACCTGGGCTGGTAATCTGTTTCACCCTAGATAATATACATGTTTCAATGCTGTTCTCTCGAAACATCCCACTCTCGCCTTCTCCCACAGAGTCCACAAGTCTGTTCTGTACATCTGTGTCTCTTTCTCTGTTTTGCATATAGGGTTATTGTTACCATCTTTCTAAATTTCATATATATGTGTTAGTATACTGTATTGATCTTTATCTTTCTGGCTTACT